GGGGTGGGGGATGGGGGGAGGAGGAGGAAAGCGGGAAGCAAATGAATAAAATCTCGATTACCTTCGGAGAATTTTTACGAAAATAAATGCTCCATTTCCATCAGATATATCATCCACATAGGAGATTGACATTGTGCAATGTTGATTACAGAAATTCTGCTCAAATTGCTGCAAAGTCTTTAGTCACTCAGGTGCGCTTAAAATGACTAGTTTAATCTGTGAAAAGAAAGGTAAACCACTAAAATCACTCCTAGTTGCACCTCCGCACATGTGCACAAGATCGCTCCAGAGTAACTCAGATCTCAAGGTCATTCATCTCACATCTTTGTGGAGGGGTGCGCGTCTGATTGGTGACTTTACCTCATTTTAAGTTGCTGGATTAATTAATAGGGAAAGGTTGGAGAGTGTTACTCACATTCTGAAGAGGGAGTAGATGCGTTGAAAACTGCAAGTTTTCCTATTTGAAGGGGTGGGCTCTAGGAGAGGTATCGGCATTGAGTATTCTGTCTGCTCTCACTCTGAGACACAGAAATTTGTGATTCAGACATAGGTGGCATTGTGTGTCGCCAGCGGATCCGCAAATGTTGGTGGGTGAGATACCACTTGCCTTTAGATGATAGGTTGTCAAACAAGTAGTTCCGAAAACTAGTTTTACCAATACATAACTTTCCTTCATCTTTTATAAAGCAACTATTAGCACCTGCATTATGGCAGTTTAGAAATTTTGGTAGAGTGCTATTTCCCAATGATCGTTAATGCCAAACTATACACTAGGAAGACAAAAATTTAATTGAGCCCTTTACAAACAAATGGATGAGCGCAGTTCGTGTGAAGACTCGATGGGGGAAACAACTTTGTATAAGTTTTTTTCTTACTAGACAAAACATTCAAGGCTATTTATGGGCAATAAATGACATCTTATTGTTACAGTTAAAAAGTCTATCCTCGAAGCAGACAGAAATCACATCAGTCATCGAGTGCTTCGTTTTCCTCTGCATTGGAACGCTTGCAGGGCTACTGCTAAACCTGCAGTTTTCACTTTAAAATATTGACATTAATATTAAGAATTCATGTGATGATGACGTATTAAAAACTCTGGTTGAGGCCAATTATCTGTTTATTATGGAAAAGGTGTCGAGGCAACCCCACTGTTCATGACCAATTGTGCAATTGTACTTGAAACGCATTGGTGCATTGGGAGTTTGGTTTCCTCTTTATCAACTCCAACTGTTCGGTAGGGTTGAGTGAAGAAACATTTGTCCCTTCATTTTTTAAAACCATGAATTCATTCTCTTTTACTCGTAAATGCCATTGATGGCGAGAAAAGTATCGTTTTTTGACATCATTAGTGGAAAATAGCAATATTTCCGCCAAAAATCAAATCCCATTCCATCTATAACACCAATTCAGAGTTGGATCTTCTGTTACATCCTGTTGCGATGTAGAAGGAATACTCAATAGAGAAATGATGAAGCAGAGCGAAGCAGCTGCGGGCAGAATGTGCTGTTGTAGGCTATTTTGAAGACTAAATTAGGAATTAACAGACAAGCGTTCAAGTTTGTTTAAAAGAAAAAGTTGATAGTTCTTCAACATGCCAATGCCTGGTAGGACCCACAAAGCAAGAAGTACCTCCCAAAGAAATCGGTGGTTCCACCTCATTCTCAATATTCTATTATACTTCGCCTCATCCGACTCTCACTTCTCGTGTCCATACTCCAAGGGAAAACGAATCGAAAAAGCAGTTGAATTCGGAAGGCTTTCAATATAGCATTTTGGTTCAAATAGCATCATCTCTTTCAAATTTGAAACGAAAAAGTGCAAGGGAAATGGGAACTAGTTGTAAAGGACCGTGGAATTTGCGTCACAGTAATAGGTAAACTATTTAGGCATAATAGATTTATGGAGGTTGCCAACTTCATATTCATCACTCACTGTAACATTATCTTCACTAAAATGGAGTGTGTGATAGACTTGCCTCCACGTAGTGCACCCTGGGCAACGTATACTCATACGGCAAAAAGTCTATAAACCGACAGTTGACTTCTAACTTCATACTACCATGACCTCACTAAACTGGCAGTTGACTTCTGACTTCAAATTGCCATCACCCCAAAACCGGCAGTTGACTTCTGACTTCAAACTACCATGACCCAAATATGGCTATTGACTTCTGACTTCAAACTACCATCACCCCATTGTATGACAGTTGACTTCTAACTTCATACTACCATGACCCGACTGTATGTCGTATTCGACCACTTTCGCGGTACTCACCTCATCTTACCTTTATCTGTACCTTTTTGTCTGTCTGTCTCTTGCGTCTGTGAATCACTCTTCTGTTCCCCATCCCCACTTTTTCTCACTTTAGTACTCCTCCTCTCTGTGAACCCCGAAGTCAGTTAAAGGGTTAGTGATAACTATCATATAGACTGTCACTTGAAAAAAATGTTGAGTTAATGACAGGAAACACTTGAAGATCCCCCCCCCCCCCCCCTCCTGTTTGCAATGATAAGGAACATCAATCAACGTGCTTGTCCATGACGTCAGAGATCACGATTTCGATACGCTTCGGTGCACTGGATAATGCGTGTGGTGGTGGGGGGGGGGTTTAATTCTTCGGGGTTTTCTGGATAAAAACACGTTCTTAAGTAGACTTGGGTTTTGCTTTGTAATCTGAGATTATTGCAAAATTTCTAAAGGACAAATTTTATTTCACCTATGTGGTCTTCAGGTTCACTACCAATAAATGCACCGACGGAATGTTCTGAGTTTACACCTACTAGTGCACTTGAGGTCGATTTAGAGGCCTGTGTGATTTGTGCAGCTCATAGCCTATGGCAATATTGCAGTTTTATAAGCAGGAACAAATGCTTATCATTGATAATTTTCCTAAAGTTATTTTAATTCATCACAAGAATGACAATATGTTGAAACTAAGATTAAACGTCGTGTACTGACTTTTTATTGATTTGGGCCATTCTAATAAATGGTAATTCCACCCAACAAATGGATAATACCTGCTGTTAATCTGCCAACTTCGTCATAACCCTGGAAAGTTCAAGCAAAAAAAACTGAAGAAAAGCGTTTTGAGCCAGAGATTATCAGTTTCTAGTTGAAGCTCGGATTTGAATAATCTTTGTGGAAGTACTTCAATGCCCATGCCCACGCTAACCTATCGAGACGTGTAACCATGCTGACCGCTGGACATCCCTAACTCCTGTTGACATGCACCTCCTCAAAGACATCAACCTGAGAGTAGGCTATGCCAACTGACTTCCACCATACTTGGCAATTTGCAGTCATTAACACCCCTTCATGTCATTTTAAAGGCAATTTTCATCAAATTTATTAGGGCTCACACACATACTTTATACGAAGAGGAAATGGTAAAACGGCATCAAAATACAGGACAAGTACATATTTATATTAGATGTCATCATCATTTTCAACCAGCATTCCATTATATAAGCGGTCCCAAAAGAAAAAATGAAATATATAATGAGAAAAGATGGGAAACACAAATCACAAACAAGCTATCACAGTTTCTGATCAGTTAAAGGGGAGAGGGTAGAGAAAATAGATCAGATGGGATTACACTAACTACCCCCTTCAGTGTCACTCTCTTCAATGGGTAATTGAATCCGAACAGCTCCAACTGGAAGCTGTGGAATTTCAGGAACAGTTCGTTCCGGCACTTCGGATGACTGTGGACCTATAAACGCAAGATAAATAAGATAGATCAATTATCTGCTTATTAAATTATTTAAGTGAAAATTAAAGCTAACTCGTTGCAGCAGACGACAGAGTCGGCTCGTAGACGGTTACTGGAGCTACAAGAAAAGACAACCAATAGCAAACTCTTGATAAAGTACTCGATAAATGGATTTTACTGCAAAAATCAACACACCCGTTGAAATAGGAGGTGCATTTACGTCTGGAAAAGTAACTGGAGCTTGTTCTGAAGCTGTTGAGATAAAGGAAAATGAAGATTAAGCTGAAGTATGCAAATTTAGAAATACGAAAAAAGCAAGCAGCAAATAATCTTACGAATTTGAACCGATTCAGAGGGAGGCAGAGGAGATGGCGGTTGGGGAACATCCTGAGATACTTCAACAAGAACTTTTTCAGAAACGGGAGGAGGGAATAACTGGTCCATCAAATTAGGCATAAATCGGTCCAATTGTGAATAGGTCGTACTCCATAAGAGAGCATGTTTTGAACCTTCCGGTGCATCTCGAACCAAAATTGGTGCTGTATCCTGAGTTCCAGTATAAAGAACAAGCAATAGGTTCTTCAGTGACTCCCGTACTGCATCATTCTATAAAAAATAGGATTGACTGGTAGGTGGAACTGATTAAAAAATGACTTCAGCAATCTAAGCCAAACAAATCAAACGAACAAGTGAATCCGAGATATTCGCCCTAATATACTTCTCCATATAGGTCAGCATTCTGGACCAAAGTTGTAAAAATTCATCAAGAGCATATAGGGGACTCAGGTGCTGCAAAAATACTTTTGTCAACAGTGGAATGGCTCTCATTCGAGGATCTGTGTATTCAGCAAGTGCACCAGAAACAGTAGACCTTTGTGGAATGGGATCCGCACCAATAGCCGCAGTATTGCTTCCACCTCCGCCAAAGATGTTTGAAAAGAAGCCTCCGGAGAGATTACCCTGACTACCGACTGACCGATAATTGGACATAGAGTTTAGCATTGCTGGTTGATTAGGAGCTGAAGTATTTACAGGTTCATCAAAAGCAACGGTTTCAATGAAGTTGGTCAGAAGTGGGAATATAACCTATGTAAAACAATAGACAAATGATTTTTCTCTTCGTGCTACTTGAATGCTGATTTAAGTAGATTGAGCATACTTGATTGAAACAGTCTAGCCACTGTTCACCCGTGAGCACATGAAGAATTGGTGAAAGGAGGGCACGTTGAAGAAACGCTAGAGCATCTGCTCTAACGTCCCTTCTAGAGTCAACACAAAGACGTGCGATTGCTTGAAGGAGAGCTCGCCAACAAGCCGGCCATAGGCATTCAACGGTGGCGTTGACTTGGCTGGGAGGTTCTTTTGACGATTCACTCACCTGTTCATCTGTGGGTTTAGTCCATTCAGCATAGATAGAGGGAGCTCGGCTGAAGAGTGTATAAACCAGATCCAGAAGCTACAATCATAATACACAATAAGCTATCTAATCCAAATTTATGATAGTGTTTTACGAATTTACCTGAAGGGCAATTTGATTACTGAACGGATCTGGAGGTCGACATTCAGGGGATTCAAAGACCAAAGGGGAAGAACGTTCGTTATTTGTAATTGACGATGTTTTTCGAATAATGGAGGGTTTTGTAGGCATCAGGACAGCTTCAACAAAGACACGAAGCGTGTGGACACAGTACTAACCAGGCAAAATAAGTTGATTAACTACTGATTAAATATAAGTAGAAATAGCATTTTCTCGAGAGCTCACCTCGATGTTATTTGGGGTTATGTGGGTCGCATCTCGAACAACGAAAACAATAGAATCGCAAGCCTTTTCCAGGGCAAACGAGTCCTGAAAAGCAATCACAATTGGCAAACGAAGTCGAGAAGATGATATTAGGGAGCTTCCGCGATTCATGTATTTCTTCTTAGATGCTTCAGTTGTAGCTGGAACTGGAGATTCCCGTGTAGTTACCTTTTCTGAATCTGACTGACCTTGGTTCTTATCGACGACATTGACAAGAACCCAGGACTCGACTCCGCCTACAATGCTGGAAGGTGGGATTTGGCGACGCACTTCTGTTACTGTGGTGCTTTCATTGTCACTGACGCAATCTCGTGTCGACAACTGAGAGCTATCAGCAATTGAATCTGCTGCTACGTTTTGAAGACTAGAATCTAAAGAAGAATGCATGATGAGAATTTTAGGAAGCAATAATCTATCAGAATTTCAACTCCAGCAAAGAAAGTAGAACATGTGCGAGCCTCACTAACAAAATCAGCCGAATAAATTATCAACAAGCATTCTTCCTAGACATGGAGTAAACTAGTATTGAATGCTCTTCAAATCGGAGGAGAAAAAGATATAGAGATCCTAGTCGGAAATATAAGTATTTTAAAATCTAGAAGATTGAAATCTTAACTTACGCAAATGAGTAATCATTGTAGCATCCCGCTCTCGTGCCATATCGAATCCTTGTAGCTCCTCCGGCATGATTGGGAAAGCTCCAGCACCGCAAACCTCTAATAGACTCAGAATCAGCTCCCAATCCCGAGGAGAGGGGATTTCCATGGCCACCGTACCACCTTCCTCTCGAAACATGGCGTCAATTCCACATACAACTTGTCGAGCAACTGAGCTAACTCCATTTGATGTGCAATCTGGATATGCTCCAGAAGAAAATTCGGAGGATTTAAAGCGATTAAGACGTTTGTTCGGTGTGGCTGAGGGGTTAGAACCAGGGGAAATTTGGGGACTTGGTCGTAGGAGGTATGCTCCACGTTCTTGGAGAATGGCTAGGAGGCAGGCGAAGATCTGCAAAAAATGTGCACAAATAAAAGTAAAGAACATGACAATAGTTAAGTAGAAAATAACAGCTGAGACTCCCGACAAAGTATAAAGTAAAAAACAAACAACCACTTGATTTAGCAAGTGTGAACATATAAAATATCCAGAGGCTAGTGTTAGAATCCTGACCTTGTGTACTGCAGTAAACCCTTTAAAAGTAAGCTCAAAGGGGTTTTATGGGAATTAGATTACGCAGAAATATCAACTCTACGTTCTAGGCAAGATATCGGCTGTGAGAAAAGCTAATTTGGAAACAGTTGCATGAAAGCTACGCTGCAATGACATCGAACGAAAGCTCCGATCATCAGAGAACATGAGTGGAGCAGCATTCCATTACTTCACTAGCTTGAAAATCGTATTCTCATATTTCACTTTTTTACTAGCATTGCTCAATACAATTTGGCAAGCAATTCAATGATAGCGCACACCAATGATAATCAATTTTGAGATATACTTCGACGGACTCACATCCGGACGGGGTAGCCCCTCAGTCTAGTGACCGTCAATAGCATGCGAAGTAGCGTCATTTGGCAGTTATTTGACTTATTTAAAGTCTAATGCTTAGAGAAACAAGCTACATTTTATTATGCCAATGAAAAGCAACAAACTTAATGTGATATTTCCAAGCCAAGCAAGAGATAATTTAAATATTAGAAAACTAACTGAAAGTACCATCAAGGCCACCAACCGTTTTAATACTCGGACTAAGTTGACACGAATGACAACAGAGGACCTAGCATAGATACAGGGTGTGGAACATCGTAGGAGGCCAGTAACTCACACTCAGCTCGAGAGGATTGACCTTGATGTTAAGATGGTGGCGTCCTCTTTTTTATATCTCTTAATATTCCTTAGGAAATATTTCCACCAGAAGTATACTTGCACTTTCCTGTATGATAGTAGCGTATAAGTTAGGTACACAAACAGTTTACATGCGAAATAAGGTATTATGGGAAATATAAGGGACATAAATAATTAACATTATTTCATCAAGAGGCAATAGACTGCATGATATTTAACTCCTTGACACAGTGGGAAACGCCACAAACAGATCAGCTGAACAAATAGTTTCGAGTAACGTTGACGAAAAATCAAATAACACTTTATGATGTTGAAAGATAAATATCCATGCGTTCCAAAATGTTGTCTACGGTATCAATAATCATTATGATATTATTATATCGATTTACAATGGCACCGGAAGTGTTTGACTCGGCTAAAAATGTCAAATTATGCCTTGAGAACAATCTGATGTCCACAAGTGGTCCGTTTTTAGAGGAATTAGCCAATTGAGAGGTGGTTATATGAGCGTTGCTAAAGTTCAGTTTCCCGATCACCATAACCAATTGTTTACCATTGTTAACTGAAACTTATCAGTTACTGCTGAAGCAAATCGTCGAATCTTAGTTTTCGGCTTTATTTTGAGACTCTAATTTCCATCTTTAGCGGTTAAATTTCAGTCCTAAATACTGAATTCGGTGACATGGGCACCTATTACTCAAACAGACTGGTGATCCTGAGAACATTCATCGCAACAACTGATGACCCCTTCGCAACCAGCATCATAAAATCTGAAAGTTTTCAATAAATTACCTTAATTTATAGATAAATAAAAAATTAAGAAATTTAAAAAAAAAACAAAAATAAATAGATTAGAAGTGCAAAACTCACTTGAGTTGCCAATTCTTGCTGCCTATTAAGTAGGCGTACAGCTAATCTCAGCATTCCCGCTACGATGCATTCAATAAGGCAAGTGGGCTCTCGAGCAGTTCGTAGAATCTCGACGAGCACACCACACACCATCATCCAGAGTTGATCAATTCGATCACGATTGTAGAGAAGGACCTGAAGAAGCAACTCTAAGCAGAATACTTGGCTCCTTTCACCTCCTATTGGAGTTTCCGGGCCAACAGAATCGTAGGCATCTACACCTGTGCCCCCATTAGTCAAACCGTAGAGGAGTGCCTAAGGAGGAAATACAGGTACCATTAACGTGGGTAATGAATTGTAGCATCAGTAGCCTTATTTTCAGCTCAAGAGACTAAATATGTAAAGAAAAATGGAACCAGAAAAGTACATACCTTAATGAGCTCCTGTAGCGACTCCAACATCAAAAACTTTGATTCCTCGAATAAGCCTCCAATCTGACACTCCTCAACCGCAGCTTTCGCAGTTTGAAATGCTGTGAAGTCATCATCATGACCTGTTTGAGGAAGGATGAAAGCAGAAGCATTTGAGGCATCGATAAGTCGAAAGAGGTCAGTCGCTGAGGTGAAACATCTTGGAGGAACTTGTTCAGATGTTGTGGGATTTTCATCCGAGCAATAAACGCTTTGTTGTTGAATATCAAGAGGCTCTTCCAACGGTGATTCTGAAGACTGAGGTTCCAAGCTGGATGAGGATCCAAGCGTTAAGTAGTGATAAAATGAGCCCAAGACACCCAGATCAGAACTAAAAGAATAGAAATTGGAAAAAAATAAAACATTTTCCAACCATTATTTGATAAAGTAGACCGATTGCAAAGTCCAGCTAATATCAACCATTGGCTCTGTAAATTCAAAGATGGAAATGGCACCACCAAACACTCTTTTAAAATAGGCAACTTTGAGGGTATGACCTTTTCTATTATCTCATGAATACAAAGTGATGAGTAAAATGCAGGATTCAAACATGTATAACAGTTTAGTTCATAATACTGAGGTCATGAGGGCCTTGTGCGCAAATCGACGCCAATCGCAACTTGAATCGTACAGAAATGACGGCTTCAGGATAAAAAAACTCAAAATTTCATAAATTTCTTCCAACCCCTTAATAAATCCAATGTTAAGAACTACGTAACCCCGTCCTGAATTACAACGCCAGCCTGACCTTTCAACTTAATAAAGTCAAGTTCAATCTGGATATAGATTAGACATACAAGGAATAGAAGATCCAATCTCAGAATTGCATGCATGAGCCAGATTAAGATACTCCGATCTCTTAAGGTGGGAAAGCAGAAGAGCAACTTTCTAAAAATAGCAAAAAATACTAGGACTCCGCCATTCAATCTAATTGTTGTGGTTAAGTACATTGGCGTAAAACAATCTTAATGGAGTCCGGTAGGGGGGTGGGGGGGGGGGGGGGGGGGGGGGGGGGGGGTATAGAAACCTGTGCAGTGGATGCACACAATATGAAAGAAGACGGTGTCGCCATGTATTTTTACAGTATATTCCGCTCTTTAACAAGCGAGGAACTAGGTTAAAGTATTCCTTCTGGAAAATATCTACCTAAGAAGGTTCGAGACCAAAATTTGGAGAGGGGACATAAAAACTACGACGTGGATAAATGAAATGTTATAAGTAAAATAAAGACCTATAAAGCCAATTTGGCTAATTATACAGTAAGAGATTTAATGAGTTACAACAATCCAACTAGCACATAATTTGTGGAATTCTAATGCGATTCAACTTACCGACCAGTTTCATTCATATTCTCATTCGATACGCCATAATTTGACGTTGGACCAGCAAGATTCGAGGGCAAAAACTGGGGAGAACGAACCAAGGAGGGTAAGAGATTGGCGTGCAGTAGCCTGAGTAGACAATCCAGTAATAAGGAACGCCACCCCTCTCTAAGCATATCTCCGTGTGCAGCAGCCAGTGCAAACACCAACCTCGTAGCCATTTGTGCCTTTGCACTGCGTCCCAAGGCAACACCAACAGTCTCTGGACTCTAGAAGAGAGGAATTAACAAAATTAAATGGACGCAAACAAACTATCAATGCGATTTAAGAACAAACCTCAGTTGGACTTAGGAGAAGAGTGAACTTGGCAAGAGAGATAATGAGATTATCAAACACCTCAGTCAGGCGGAAATGAGCTGCAATTCTAGCGCACCGAACAAACCCGGCCATTGTTTTCGCCTGTAAAGCAGGATCTGTTGTTTTGTCGAGTACAAAAGAGAGAGCAGCCACGGTGGAACCCCAAAGCATTACAAAGAGATCCGAGTCGAAATGTCCAGGAGGTAGGTGGAGATAGTGTGCAAAGCCAGGTTGGGAACTACGACGTGCTAAACACTTAAAAACAAAAGGAATTCCGATTATGATGGAGGGGAGACTGATATACGATTTGGGTAGAGATATACTGCTTACTTTCCATAAATAGTTATCCCTCACAGCTCCAGTCTGTTCAGAAGGCATGACAATCTCTCGATTGCGTATACTCTCGTAGATAGCTTCTATCAAAGATGGTTCAAATTCTCCGCCCCCATTCATACCCTTCAAGTTCTTCTTGAAGTCTGCACACGTCATGGGTATATTTTGACGACGGGAATTGGGGTTGTGTTGATCTGTGTTGAGCATCAGAATGGCATATGAAAGAGTGAATGCAGCATCAGAGTTGAAGAAGGGGCCGTCGTTGGCTTGAAACCACTGTTCGGCGAAGGATTCCATCAAGTGTTGAATGAGTGGAGCTTCACCAGGAATACGGAAAGCTTCAAGGTAAGTTCGAAGTGATTCGTCAATCCGAATACCTTTGAAGTTGAAATGCCTAAAAAGAAGTGACTACAGATGTAGCACAATTGCACAGTCATGTTTATATGAATCGCCAGTCTGAAAATTATAGCGACTCAAAATAATTACTGCATTTTTAAGACGTAAGCCAAAAAATTGTGCTTTTGTCAGTCATCAAAAGTTGAAATCGGAACAAATCACAAATAAGAACACACACACACATAAACTACTCAGTCAACGTAGCAACGTCAAGTACAATAAAATAAAAGAAGAATGACAGTTTTTTCCGCTTCTAGATCACTTAAATTTCAGTAAGGAAAAAAGGGTAGAAAGGACCAAAACATCAGCTAATATTTCAATTGAAAGTAATTATGGGGTGTGCGACAGACTTACCTCCACGTGGTGCACCCTGGGCAACGTATACTCATACGGCAAAAAGGTCTATTAACCGGCAGTTGACTTCTCACTTCAAACTACCATGACCCCACTGTATGTCATATTCAACCACTTTCACACTACTCATCTTACCTTTTCTCTGCCTGTCTATTTTATACCTTTGAATCGCTCTTCTGCCCCCCCCCCCCTTTCGACGTTTTTTTTCACTTTGATGTTCCCTCCTCTCTGTGAAGCCTGAAGTCAACTAAAGAGCTAATGATAACTATCATAAAGCCTGCCATTTGACATAAATAAATAAAGTTAAGATTTCAAAGCAAAGTTGGAAAGTCTGAATTCCATAAAGAACCTTGAATATGACTGATATAGCAAACAATCAAAAAGGTAAATTAAATATGCAAATGGTTTGATAATTCGAAATTCGGCACAATATTTAACGTTCAATTTTGGCAAATCGATGCTCGAAGGTGCTAACACACTGATATGAATGACTGATTGTACTGATTAATCCTGATCAAAATAGAGTTGGAAAATTGCAAGTTTCCTATTATTACGATACCGTTGGATAGGCTTGGTAAACGTCATACACTAAGAAATTATTCTCCCACTAATTAAAATTAACTATTTGAGGACGCACGATGGCTTTGCAGGGTACTTGATATCACCACAAGATTAAGTGCTACAACGTGGTTTAGATAAATAAGTTAAAAAGATTGTGACCAAGGTGAAATACCCGAAAATGGTAAGGAATCGGCCTTCAAGTACAAAAAAATTATGGTATTGCGTAGAAAGCCACAACATTTGTCCATGAACCATTGGTTAAAACTACGGTAATTAGAACCATCAAAGCAGTCAAATACACATAGTTGTTCTTACTTCTGACTAATTTTGAAAACGACGGGGCTAGTAATCTAGAATCTCCAGGGTTGGCGCTTTACACATTAGACATTCTAATTAGTACCATATTGCAGACATTCCAATTAGAAGTAGAGGGCGTTAATCGTAAGACGGGAGAGGACTTCTTAATGAAGTGAGAAACGATGCAATCGAAAGACAATCCGTCATAAACGTATCTTCAGCAGTTGGGAAAAAGTGTAAGTTAAACTCACCGAACGAACGCCGCTAGAATATCTGAGTTTTTGCGATTGGACAAGAATTCGCCAATAATTTTCTTGTCCAGCCGAGGATTTTCGGCCAAAAATGTAGCCATTTCAACCGCATCAAGAGGATCGGCGAGAAGACCATTCTTCTGTAGAAAAGCAATTCCGTCTTTGGGCATGAGATTGAAACGATCAGAACCGTTCATGAGGAGCTAAAACAAGGAATGGTGCGTGAGTGGGCATACTTCAAACTTAGACCTAGAGAAAAAGATTGAATAGTGAACGACGAACTTTCTTCCGAGTCTTTTGGAGAACTAAAGCATCGTGAGTTGGGAGATTAGAAGAAGGATTCCAATGACGGTTTGGTCGTGGCATTGAAGTCCTACAATTTGACGATTTTAGACGGGTCTACAAAAAATGCGTAAATGAAGATGATAACGGATAAATTTTACAGAATAATGCTCAGGTTTTTTACTCCACAGGCTTTAAAGGTGTACACGCACTATATGCTTTCCCGTTAAAATTTTAAACCCTTCTTCATTCATACGCATGATGATAAGGCGAATTGATGATGATTTGAGCCCACCTAAATCAAGTAAGAGGATCACTGGTATCATGGTGATTCTCGCTAACCGTCAAAATATAAGAAGATTGTGATCGTTGCTCAATATCCCTTCAACAAAATGAAGAGTTTCACATGAACTAGGGAATTTTAACAGAGATAATGAGACTAATACTGTGACTAGAGGAAAACAACATCACAGTCCCATCGCAGTTTTAATACACCGTCGCCTTTCCTTCCTTCGTTCATTTTGTCCTTACAATAACTTAAAACTAATGATTTTTCCCAATACGTGTCCCATGTTTTAACTCTAAATATAAAAACAAAAAATGAATGATTTTACAGGACTGAAGTATGTGATCATCTCATTAACTAACAGGCTCAACTTTGGACAAACCGTTTCTTGATCCTTAATGAGAAGATACAAGATAAATAAAGCTGCAGTGAAGCACTTCTACAGAATTATACAACAGAGATTCATTGCTTTACTTAACCGGGCCACTAACTTTGCTGCGGAAACAAAAAAATATTCCAATTTATCAACATTGAAGCATGCTCTCTACCTTGGAGTTAGAAATTAAAAAGTTAACTTACAACACCTTCCTGAGCACCTTCTTCAATCGCCGCCCCAGTTTGAACATCAATGGCATCAACCACAGACAACAGAGCATCCAAAGCCAGAATATTCATTCCCGATAGCCGATTATTACTCGGATAGGCATTCTTAGTCAACATTTCCGTGATATCATCAAAGAGATTCGAGCAGTATGGATCACAATCATAATTTACGTAAATCTCAGCTGCAAGTCCAGGTAGAAGGAAAAGCTGTACAACTGCATCCAGAGCCATTTCCCTCTGTTCATAAGTGATTCGATCATTGTCGTGAGAGATAATGGCTATAAGACGGTGAAAGTAAACTTCCAATTGAAGTTTCAAATGAACCCTAAGTGATTCGAATAGAAGAAAGGAGAGGCGGAGAGTAGAGGCGAAAAGGGATATCCGTTCTTGAAAGAGAAGCATCATCAAATACTTGGTCAAGTCTGTTGCGACCAAGCGGAGGATCGATGGACACGCGTGAAGGAAATCAGCTCCAGTTTCAAAAGCTACTGCTAGAAGACCCAAAGCGACTTTGATAACATTGTCCTGTTGTTCTGGATTCAGAAGATCAACCAGTAAGGCGAAGAGATTATGAACTGCTTGCAGGTTGTATGGGCGACAGATTTGTTCCTCTGAAAGTGAACTCTCTAAAACGTACAAAAAATAAATCTAAAAACGGAAAAGGAAAGCAACGAACTTATATGACGGGAATAACAGCAAATCCCGCAGTCACTCCTTAAAACACAAAGGATATGCCATTCAACACCTACACAATCTCTGCCAAGTGTTCAAGAAATCAGATAAATCGGAGTCTGGCGTAATAAAAACTCCTTTGAAAAGGGAGAAATAAGAATGATCGATTCAACTCCTCTGAGATCCATCATGTTTAAATTATTTTAAGTAGTACTAGCTAGCTCCTCCTGGTTAATGGAAATTAAATAAATCGAGATGGTAAGACCAACTTACCACTCAATCAACTGGTCAATAAATTTTGAATAACCATTGAGCAGTGTAGCACCTTACGCGTCTAACATTAAAATGTGGGGGGTAAGACAGTCGTCCTCGACTGGCATTGGACTGTTCAACTGTCTTGTTCAGAAGCTTACCCACGATTGTACAACTACAATTTTTTTCTTATGAGTCATAATTGAGATTTGCATTTTTATCGACACGATATACTAACCTTCAATGGTATGGTTTTCCCCCACTTCCTCACCAATTTCTACTTTGAACGAAAGGGGAGATGCTGACAGTGGAGATTGGGGTTGGGAGGATTTAGAAAGATTAGTTGCCAGTAGATCCTGGTGGGGATCTTCCACTAAGTGATCACCCAGACTGCAAATGCTTTCATCACGACGTGGTGGATTTGCCTCGAGGGAGCCTGAAAGAGAAGCGATAATTCGATGACTATAGAATCCAAACAAAAAGACTAAATGCAGTTCCAAAACCGACAACAATGAATATTTTATACCATTACAACGGATAAGTGAATATCAGTGAGCGATCCATTCAACAAAAAATAGAAGCGAAATATGAATTAATAACGTATGGGGGGGGGAGGAATTAATAGACTTAAACAGACCGAAATCGAATAAATAGCGAATATAGAAACTTCGACAAATATCTTTCAGTTATCAAACCCCATTCAGGCGTATCCTTGCAAACACACATCTACATGATAATATGAATAAATTTGACTGTCTCTCGACAAGAAACGGAAACTAAGGTCTCAAATGCAGCTTCAACTCTAACCAATAGCAGTGCTGTTGTAGTACCGACACAGTGATTACTGTGGTTTGCCGCAAAGTCCAGTGCATACAAAACAGCCCATTGGGTTGAGATCTGCGGGGGGAGTGGAGTTCAGGGGCTAAAAATACATTGCCACAGGTGCAGTCGTAAGAATTGGTTGACAACCAGTCTTGACATTAACTTGAAGTGTGCCAGTAGGTCCAATCCTGTTGCCACCACACATCTGGTTTATTATTGGCAACCCTCGTTCGTCGTTAGCCAGGGCTCTACAACTACTACGTTGGCCACCAATTTCACATGGGGAGCATATCATACCACCATCAGTGGTGGATGAGGACACACCAAATTGGGCAAATTGAGGCCTCATGACTCAGGAAGTATCTTCTTACTCAATGCAAGGCAAGTAATCTCATATTCTTTGTGGTGTGCTTTTGATCTTGTCAAAATTTCCCCTCATCGCAAGAGAAACGAATTGTTGGTGCTTCAGCAGAATGTTCCAGTTTGCTAAGATGCTTAATCGGCTTTATCGGTCGGCTATTTTGGATGCGACTTCCACTGAGAAGTTGGCCTCTACGACGCTTATTTGTATGAGGACGTTTGATCTCCACTACTTCTAATCTTCAACTATTATTATTATTAGGAAGGAAGTAAAACTTTCACAATTGAAATAATTGCGCAAATTTTGGATTGGCAATCGAATCAGTGATGTATTACTTTGCAATGCCAATTTAAGCTTGTATTTATATATTACGGGAGAGTTTAGATACCCCCCCCCCCTTTGCTCTACCATTACATTAAATTAAGGGGATATTTAAAAGAGCACTACCATGAGAGAAGCATTACCCCAATTGCACTTGGTTAAGAAGCATATTGAAGTTGCTCCTATAAAAGAGTTCGCATTAACCCCCTCCCCTTTTTCGACTTAAACCAATACGGACTACAATACATGCTATTTCCACCACTAAATATGCACCGATGAGCACCAATATCATAAATATGACAGTGTTATATCAACATTACCAGTTCTAAGCAATATATTATGACAAACAGTGAGACCACTTACCGGCAGTTTTAGTCTCTTCTATTTGGTTAATATCTACAGTGTCTGAAGATAATTTTGTCGAGGTTGGTTGAGGGTTGTCTTGGTGAATCGCTGTTCGTTGACTGCTTCGGTGGCTAACGGGAACTGATGTTTCGTCGATAGGTAACTATTAACAAAAAAAAGAATGTTTCATTTCAAATACTGTTTATTGCAAGTTGGAAGCACTTTAAAAGCGAATGATACGAATTAAATCCGCTTCGATGCATGTGAAACGGTAGGTTGATATATATTATATAGAGTTTACCTCTATATATGAGTCAGTAATCGGTGAACCCATTTATAAAGGCGTTCATTAACACTCATATTGAGTAGAGAGCGACATCATAGAAGCGAAAAGTAAAAGATATGTAATTACTTTCTCCATGATACTCGCGACCTGGAAGTTGATACATTTTTACATTTCCGCCGCAATGCTGGTATATTTGACGTTATAAACGGTATTTTAAAAACCAACTGAAGAAAATTACCTACCCAAATTAAACAGACATAAGAATAAGTAATCACTAATGGTGAAGCCCTTACTTGATAGTCCGGAATAGAAAGTTCGATTTGCTAACAAACCTCAAGTCTAGATGGCCACAAAGATAGAGGCAAGAACAATTATCTCTTAAAGCTGTTTTGAATAATAACTAGAACTTACAAATCCTGAAATAAAAATTTAAATATTACATACCGAGCACTATTGTTATTGCAAGAAAGTCTCGAATCCATTCCCCGTTTACCTCTATTAATCAAAACAGTTAATCGTGCTATGTAGCCTATCCGTAGGAGTTGACTACGTGACGTCTAACACTATTACATACGAAACCGGGTATGAAACATCCCCATTTTACCTGAGTGACAAAAAAAATTTCCCATAGTTATCATAAATGCATATTAATTTAGTCTGCCTTAATCGGATAAAAAGTATTATTTTATCAAATACAATTTTATATAATATTGTCATACGCGAATTCCTCAAATTCTGATAGTTTAGCCAAACACAATAAAAAAGCATAGGTTTCGTGTTACTTCGAGGGATAAAAAGTAGTGCATTTATGCTTCCTGGACCCTCAAAGATCAAATAACATCAGCACAGTGGTCTTAGTATATAGGCGACTTAACACCTCTCAAATTCCATTGTTACTCACGACTCAGTAACACAGTAAAATAATTATCATATGTGGAACCATGTATTTATTTGGTGTTTTGGCCGGGGGGAAGGTCAAGCGAAACATTTTTCATTTAATAGCCAACTGCGTAAGTGGCGCAGTGATCAACATTAGTGTCTTCAATATCAGGGAGCACTGATCCCAACCTAATAGGTACACAGTCAATCAAGAAAGCAGGGTCAGAATATGAGTACCCATATAATACTAGCTTACTGTCAAAGATGAAAGCTTAGGTAAAGGCCATATTGATATAAAAGAGCTAGCATCATTTTAAAATGGTTACATGAATTTCTAGAGGAAATATTAATATCAAAGTCTGGGATACTAACAGTTTTAAGGGAACATAATTAATTAATAGCATAAAAACAAAATAAACGTAATAATACAAGCGCAACCATTAGTTACAGTGTAAATATATGCATTAATATTTGATAATAAGTACCAAAGGTGGGTGTTATAACTATCCAAAATTCAAAATAGAAGCCATTACTATATGAAAGCAACATTTAAAGTGGAACATGAAGTATAATTAAAAAGCGTTGGTATGAGAATGCGGAATTTTCAACCCAGAAATGATATTACTGTTGTCAAATACTTAAGTCTGCTTTACCTGGTTGTTAGTTCCCGCAGACAAAATAAGAGCAGGTAACCTGGAAAAGAACAACTGGACTATTGAAGCCAGAAACTGTTCTGTAGTTCGTCTTAGTAATTCGGATAGCTTTGTCTCTAAACATATTCTTAGTCCGTTCTGAATAATCTCGTAAACCATTTCGTTGGAAAGATAAGCTCCTGAAGGAATAAGGAGAAGAGTTCGAAGAAGATGGACAATTTTCATGAGAACAACCTCATCGGAACTCGGCCGACTGCGAATGAAACGAGCTTGAATAGTTGCCTCAGCAATGGCTCCAATAGCAATTCCAATGCTATTTTCTGAAGCATTTTGAGATCCTGGTCGGACTTCAAGAAGTCCATATGCAAGAAACTTTTCAACTGAAGATAACGCTATTCCGGTTACTAGACCAGTAGCCGATTCAGATCGGATCACATCAAGGAAGGGTGTTAAATAAGTAATAGGATTGAGAGATTCTAACTCTAAATGGGAAAGTTATAATAGTCCAACTTATACCTGGGGCCTCATTCAGAGTATTTCGTAGAGTAACTAGACTATTTAGAAGGGCTCGCTTCGACTCTTCTTGCGAGGGACGGAAGTTGGAGCGAGGACTGCATCTAAACGAAGTAATCAGGATTGATACCTCTGATTTAACTGTGCTTAATGCATTCGGAGGTGCCATTTTCCACTAATTCTACAAAACAATATAGCATTTGGTCTTCAGGATAGATATCAATATACAGAGGTTCATCATAATTAAAGGTGATAAAGTCTACTTAACAATTTAAATGTTTCGGTTATAAATAAATTCTCCAGACAAGGCCAATAATGCACAAGAAAGTTAATAAATTTATGCATATTTATATGATGACCTGTAAAAGCCTTGCGGATTTGCACACCAATTTAAGAGAGTGCGTCATTCGTGGTTGAGAAAATTTTAGACGATAGAATGATTAAATTTATCAAATATTTCTAATTTAAAATTGCATTGTACTTAATATTTTCTAATGCAAAGTTATCAATTTCATACGATTTTTGTATTCATTTGAAAGGAAAATACTATTCATTTATCTTCTCTGAATTAGTGGTAATTTATTTTTAGGACCATTTCTAAATGCGTTTTCTTTGCTATTAAAATATTAATATTTTTCATATTTATTCTCCTAACTTAATTAGAATTTGGACTTTTGACATGTTTCTACCCAAAAAACCGAATCCATTTTTAACATTTATTTGCCTCATTTATTAATATTAATATTGCCAGGGCAAAACCACATTAGTCGGCGTTTGATTTTCGCAAAGTATTTTAATATGGAGTAAACAAACTAACTTAAAATGATAAGATCCATATGAAGCTTTAAATCGCATTTCGTATCGACGATGTGTGGTGTGCGATAGGCTTGCCTCAACGTGATACACCCTGGGCAACCTATGCTCATACGGCAAAAAATCTACCATGACTCTACTGTATGTCATATTTGACTACTTCCACATTACTTACCTCACCTTTTCGCGACCTTTGCGTCTGTCTCTTTTACATCTTTAAAACACTCTTCTGTTCTACAACCCACCCCTCTCGACTTTTTTACACTTTCATGTTCCTTCCCTCTGTGAAGCCTGATGTCAGCTTAAGGGCTGATGATAACTGTCAAAACGCCTACCATTTGATATGAATATAGTCGCTGTTCCAATCAATTGAAATTTTGTTAACATTGAGCTTTAGCAATGCAATAGCATTATCTTAAAAGCCTCACTTTAATTCCTAAGTTTCAGCTTTAAACTTTTCCAGTATATACCAAGTTTGCAAACAAATTCGTCTACTTTACATTTGTCAAACGGTAATAATTGCTTTATTACCCCGGGTTGGGGCAATATAATGTACTTAGTGAAATACTTTCATTTACCACTATTTTGACTATTGAAAAATAGTTCAAAAAGCATTATAAATCAAAATTTTACTAATTCTTAATAAGGTCAGTTGAAAATATGCATGTTGCCTTATTGTTAATTTCCTCAGTTCTTTTTTAGAATTTCAAATGCATACGCTGATTCTTCAATTTTGAAAGAGATAAGAAATGCGTACTCGAGCATCGTTTGCTAATTGAACCTATATTAAAACTACCTTTCATTATGTTTTGTGTCCCTACGTCAAATAGAGATGTTATGTTCGTGAGTTTGCAATATTTTGTCGGAATTTAGACATGCCAGATTCAAAGTTCACTTTAAGATCGGACAATTTAAATTAGTCCTAAACTGATCTAGTTACTTTCGATTTTGAGTCTATTTCCTAAACGGCCATAAATTACTTATGTTTTATGAACGGTCTAAGTCTTGTATTGAAGATATTCCTGGGTCAATATACTAACCGCAATTTGTGGTCAGATATTTTTTTATATCATATAAAACTAATCTACCATCTTCGTTAACATACGACTATCCATACAGATATAAACTGCCACTCTAAATACCCATTTCTATTAATCTGGAATTGCCTTTCAACAACACTACCAGAATATAGGGTTGGAGCTCAACTACATTCACTAAAACCTCTCTTTTGTTTTTCTTGCTTCTTATCCGCTAACCGATAATCAGATGTGTGCTATTGATATTGTAGTACCGAGTTCGTTGACTGTAGAAAGCACTAATTATGGGACTCATACAGTCACTCGAAAATTTTTAACATTATAATCTTATACAAATTCAAATGTCGAGGATATTTAAAAGGAAATAAAAACAAAACGAAATTGCATCCATAAATGAATTAAAAGCACCAAAGTAGAAAGGATAACAAAAAAGTTACTTCATCAACAGTCGAAGATAATTTAAAACTGGATGAATAAAATTGAACTTCCTTAATTCAACAAATATTTCCGAAAGCGTTAGAGCAAAATTTGGTGAAGGTATAATTTTAGGTATAACAAAGATAAAATTCTTGTTTCCGTTTAGATCGTCCACAAATTGAAAATTATATTCATGAACTTTGGGCATTTGGAAGGTATAGAGAGATTGCAATAATACGGGATCTGTTGGATTATAATCATATTTCATTATATTAACGAAGCCCATGAGGCAGCAATTTGAGATTGGTGGTTTAACTTTAAGTTCTTTAACTTTCTGCCAATCCACATCCCGAAACAGCCCGAGGCGTTGAACTTGTTCAATGCTTGGTCGTAGAACATAGCTAGTAGAAAGGACTTGATTAAAAAATTCCTGCAAATCCTTCGGCAAATTGGAGAATCCTCTAATATACCAATAACCCCTTTTCGCCAATTTTTTGCCTTGTTCTTTGTCTACATTGTTAGGACGAATGTATATGCCATGCATCAATGCTGTCAGAACTCCAAGACTCCAGACATCAGCTTTTTCAGAAATCACTTCTTCCTTTGCAATCTCAGGGGCCGCAAAGTACTGATTTACGCAAAACTCCCATGCTTTACTAGGCCTTCCAAATCGAGACAAGTCATAAGAACGGTCAAAGTCGGATATCAAAATGTGGCCAGATTTGGAAAATAAAATATTATCTGGTTTCAGTTCCATGTGAACAATGCGTTTCTCGTGAAGGTACTTAAGACCACAGATTATTTCACTCGAATAGAACTTAACATCTTCATATTCCAAATGGCCTGTGATAGACAAAATATCATGAATTGTGATACCCAATGCCTCTGTGAGCACCAGAACTGGCGAAAATTGGATGACGAGGCTATAGTGGAGTTTTTGTAAAAACGGGGATGAATGAGGATCCAAGGTAATTCTTTTGAGAATATCATGCTCTCTTTTGGCTAAAATAATGGGTGTGGGCTGGTGAAGAAAAAAACGCTTCATCGCGTACGATTCGCCTCTATCGTGTTTTTGCATCGAAGTCACGGAATAAACGAATGTGTGATAGCCGCAACCAAGAAACCTCTGAGCGCGAAATTTTCCTTCAGCCATCACTACTGGTGCCTTAATTTGATGCGAATTGATTAAATATCATGAATATCTCAAGCATATATATGTTGAGTGAAAATCAACACACCTCACAGTGTCTACACTTTAGGGTGCACTAAATACATTGGGCCGGGAAACTCACTGCCTCCGAAGAATTGGAAGTAGGCAAAGTTAGTAACCCCGTCAAACAAAATACTTTATTATAATTGTTTAAAAAAGCCTTGAATAAAGTGCTTGCTATCTGAGGTGAGTTATGCGTGCGATTTCACGTAAATTAAGTGCGTGCGTGTGTGTATGGCCCATGATACCAGATGGTCAAGATGAAAGAGGTCGTGGGTGAGCAAACAGGAAGGAAAACACTTATTAAGTTTTCATTAAAACGCGGCAACTATACAATATTAACAATAACAGCACACTGAACATGAAGTAGTTCACAGTAAGTGCTGTAAGTGTTCAGCATTAACTTCGATACACTACTCACCATGTCTCAACATGTTTACGTTCTTTGAAGATTTGCCAATTCATTTGGTGTGGTTTCTGTAATCTTATTGCAAATGTTCACTTTCAACTCTTCATTGTCGTTTAGCGAAGTCAGTAGGCAGTAATGTTTGCATCACTCGCATATGTAACTCTTTCGACACGTTCAAGCAAGTCACATACTTGATGCTTGGTATGGAGGATCGATGTCTGGTTGAGTTCCGTCGACTTGTAGACAGAGCCTAGTGAAATGTGGAATGTTACTTTTTTGATGAACAAATGAAATGCACCCATTTATATTTTACATCGGAGGGTGTGAGATAGATTTGCCTCCACGGGGTGCAGCCTGAACAGCGCATACTCATGCAGCAAAAAAGTATATAAATAGGCAGTTGACTTCTGACTTCAAACTACCATGGCCCGACTCTATGTCATATTCGACCGCTTTCATAGTACTCACCTTTCCTTTTTCTCTACCTTTGTGTTTGTCTGTCTCTTTTACACCTGTTAATCACTCTTCTGTTTCCCCTTTCCACTTATTGTGACTTCATCTGTTCCTCCCCTCTGTGAAGCCCGAAATCAACTAAAGGGCTAATGATAACTTACATAAAGCCTGTCATTTGATATAAATAAATAAATTTTTGACATCAGTGACTGAATATCTTGCGTTATAAACTAATCATATCCAAAATAAGTTCCAATGATAAACACACTTTGTTTGACTGAAAATAGCCTACTGCAGGGGTGCATTCACAGCGATTGTTAGCACGTGACAACGCAGCACAGAGCAAGACACAGCTGACGCAAAAGGAATGTTTGGAATCATGCGACCTTTCGCAAACTCTCAGTATCACTTTCAGTTTGAAACAGGACACAGAACCTCACTTAACATGGTCACATTGTATAATGTTATGGAGCCGGAATAAGTAAGTAGTTGACCTGTTTAGACTGAGGTCTGTCAATGGCGTCGAATACCCCGTTTGTGAATGCAAGGTACGGTGACCAACGTGCACGAGATCAATTTTAATCTGGACAGTTCTTATGAAATGGGGAAGACTACCTTCCTCAATTTCCATGATATGTGTTTAAATACGCGTGCGTTTGTTCATATTTAAGATTATATCAAACTGGATTTAGTAAATACTAGTGACGAATAAGGGGTGTGCAATAGACTTACCTCCACGTATACTCATACCGCAAAAAAATCTATAAACCAGCAGTGGCTTCTAACTTCAACCTACCATGGCCTGACTGCAAGTCATATTCGTCCCCTACCACAGTGCTCATCTTACTCTTTCTGAGCTTATCTGTCTGTCTGTCTCTTTAACATCTGTGATTCATTCTTCTGTTCCACTTCTCGAATTTTGGTGTTACTCCCCTCTTTGAAGCCCAAAATCAGCTAAATGGCTAATGATAACTATCAAAACGCCTGCTATTTGAAATAAATAAATAAATAGTGATGAATAACAAATACAGAAGTGCTTTTTAACCCCAATCAATCTGACCATCACTTCTGGACTGAACTATTTTGATCTCATTCAAGCAGTAGAAGACTAGTGAGACCTGCTGAAAGCATTCCGAGAAAGTTTAAAAGTTTATGATAGTCACATCCTGATATTACATTTACTCAAAATATGTAAGTCCAGTTTTAACGAATGAATAGCTTGTCGAAAGACACGCATACACTGCGAACTCGAAGTCCTCGCTACAAAGAGACCTTCGGAAAGTTTTTTTTCCGATGTGCTTTGTTCAATTTGGTCTTGTAAGAATACAGAGGTGGGTATGTGGAAATATTCCCGAAAAGAAACTACAGCAACCCCAAAGGTATTTTAACGATGGGGAGGGGCAGGCAGAATTTATTCCTGGAAGAGCTATTAAATAATGTGAATGCGATTATTCCCCTATCTCTGAAAATTGTAGCATAAGGAACAAATAGTAAATAAGAAAAGTGAGCTTAAATTTTTTATATCCTTGAATGACAACTGATCACGTAACTAAGGAAGGTACATTTCACTGGAAATGACTGAAGGTTATAAATTCCGTTCTTGTATTCCTCGCTGGAGATTCTACAACTCCTATTTCAGCCAGTACTCCGCCATCTATCATGGTGAAATAATCATCAGAGAATAAACTAGATTGCTGAGAAAGTCACAGAAGATGAAATCTTCTACATCATAAAGTTCAGAGTGGAAGTGTGTAATTTCCTTACTATGTCAAAATTATTCAACGGCATAGCAAAGAATCACATGAAGATCATATAGATATTACTGCTTCCGAATTCATCCTCTTACTCTTGAAGGGGTGTTTACCAGAACCCACTAGTCAGACTAATGTAAGCCACAAATCAACTAAGAAGTTGATCTCCAACCCAGCTCATCAAGTGGTAGAACACGCCATGCATGCAATCATCTATCATTGTCATTCCTGATGGTGATTTGCATGACATGTGGCAAAACAGCCATCTTATGCTTCTGGGTTCTTTCGCACATAAGTCTGCCCTTTTTATTTTACCTACCTTTCCTATACAGAATGTGCCTTAGAAAGTGTCTATTTGGGTGATTTTTCATGATTAAAGTCGGCTCTATCAAGTTAAGATCTGTGTCTCGTCTCCTTAATAGTCGGTTTCTAATTTTATTTGGAATCAATGTTGAAACACTTTTAGTTATGATTACATACCTGTGAATTATTCGCTGAGAATCGGTCAAAAAATTTGTTGGAATAAAAGCATCTTTCAAAGAAATTTAGCAATATATCTCCATCGACAAATGTCATTTAACTAATAAGTATAATATTTCACGAGACATTAGTAGAGCTTTCATGAGGAAAAATATCTACGAGGAATCAGGGTGGTTTTTAGTTGTAATACGAGATGCTGATCAGAGTTAATTAGAAATTTAAATCTTCAGTCAAAACATTTGTGGGTAAAGTTTCCTCGTGGAATGCCAGAAACTCCTGTTTTTGTGAGCAATACATGTAGCTTGATATTTTGTCATCAGTTGCCATGTCATCATTGTCTTTGGGCAAGTGAGTTAGATAGTTTGAAGAAACCCACTTACACTAAAATTGTGCATATTTCATGTTATCAGAAGCGTTAAAACCTACTGACAAATAAATCTCTATTCCAATAAAGTGCCTCCTATACAATCTGGTTTCACAGCGATCAATTTTACCTTAATGGATGTTATCAATTGCTTATTGCACATCAGGCTGGAATCCCTTTCGAGTGTACATCCATATTACTCGGAAATATTTATTTATAACATGTGGCAGGCATTTTGATAATTATCATTAGCTCTTTAGCTGACTTCAAGCTTTAAAGATGGGAACAAACATCAAAGTGACGAAAATTAGAGAGGGGGGGGGGCAGAATAGTGTTTCACAGATGTAAAAGAGACAGGCAGACACAAAGGCTGAGAAAAGGTAAGATGAGTACTATGAAAGTGGTTGAATATGACATACAGTGGGGTGATGGTAGTTTGTTGAATATGACATACAGTGGGGTCATGGTAGTTTGAAGTCAGAAATATGACATACAGTGGGGTCATGGTAGTTTGAAGTCAGAGGTCAACTGCCGGTTTATAGACTTTTTGCCGTGTTAGGGTTAGATCAACTGCCGGTTTATAGACTTTTTTGCCGTATGCGCATACACAATGACATACAGTGGGGTGATGGTAGTTTGAAGTGAGAAGTTGTGACATATAGTGGGGTGAGGGTAGTTTGAAGTCAGAAGTCCACTGCCGGTTTATAGACTTTTTGCCGTATGAGTATACTTTGTAACATACAGTGGGGTCATGGTAGTTTGAAGTCAGAAGTCAAGGCATACAGTGGGGTCATGGTAGTTTGAAGTCAGTGGTCAACTATACAGTGGGGTGATGGTAGTTTGAAGTCAGAAGTCAACTACCGGTTAATAGACTTTTTGCGTATGAGTATACGTTGCCCAGGGTGCAACACGTGGAGGTAAGTCTATTGCACACCCTCTTACTCGGAAATATTAACTGCTTAGTAGATGTGAAAAGCTTGATGACCACGGCCGTTGTTGTTTGCATTTGTAGCACCACGACTGCGTCACTTGTGTGGTGCTAGGAATCATTCCTTGTGAGTTGCCGGAATATTACAGTCCAACAGCACTTGTCAACTCACGATTCGTCCTCTTTTTTGTTACCAATATCGTCACAAACATATGTTTTCAATAGGTTCCTCCTGTGCTATATGAATTAAGTTAATATGTGTTTATCAGTTCTTCCTAACAGTTCAGTAAAGATTTATTGATATTCAATTTAAAGGGCCAAACTAAACATTCACCATCTCCTTCTATTTTGATTCAATAGTTCCTCCCATTCACAAAAGAATGCTTCTCAAAACATTTGAAAGATATAGTTGGAGAGTTCATCTTTAATTAGCTATTTGCATCTGTAGAACTTCAGCAGCTTTCTGAGTATATCTCAAAGAGTACACTTTATCAAAACCATGACTTTTTCAAGATATTTGCCCATTTTATACCTTTCAGAACAACACTATTACGCTTG